TTCTTTACAATTCAGTGGTTAAGATATAAAGTCATTCGGAGTGATTTGATGTGAAATAATTCATTAGTAGAGAAACGTATCCAAAGATTTTCTTTACAGTGGTGGTTGTAGGAACCAGAAGTCTCAATGTCTACAATGCAAATGTAGCCATTTTACTTACTATCCAAAATCACAACTGAACCTGCATGTGTCTTATAGGTGATGCTGATGATGGTAAAATAATGGCCAATCTGAAAAAATAAGTTTTATTATTTAGCCTTTAGAACGTCCTTCATCCTTCTGTGAAATAAACTGATTAAAAATGTTTTAGACCAAAATTTTGTCACACAGCTACTGAAAAACAGCATCAGGCAGTGAATTCATAACCATTTCACGTAATAACTTTCAGTGAGAACTTTTAGAGGTGGACGTCTGGTTCCTATCACCACCACTGTGAACAATTCTGACTCAGTAAGCTTCACTAGAAGGACGCATTTCATACCAAACCACTCTCAATGGCTTTGTTGACAAGTTAACCATTTATCCGTGTAGAAATTTTAAAAATCTGTGGAGTTCCCCTTTTAAAGGGATATTTCTGGCCAAGAACAGACTTTCAATTTGTTATTTGTCATGTAAAGTAAAATTCTATAGCACAGTATTTTTGTATTTTGATTTAGGTGTGTGTGTGTGTGTGTGTGTGTGTGTGTGTTTGTTTTCATCCATCATTGTTCTCTCACTACTCTCAATCCATGTCATACAACCACTGGGAATCCCCCCACAGTGATAAAGAAACCCTGACTGCAAGCGCAGCCACTGAGTAAAGACTAATAAAAACAGACAAACAACATTAACAGTAATGCTGTCTGGCTTCTTTCTGCAGGAAAAAAAAACCCTTCAAACAGCCCTCCCTCAAAAATCCACCTCAAAGGTTCTTCCCACCTTCAAGATGCATCATCTAAAAGGGGGGTTTCCTGGTCTTTAAACCAAACAATCTTACTACAGAGTCCTGGGTCATTGCTTTAGAAGACAAGCATGTGTTCAACAGATGTAGCGATGGCTGAATGTCTGACCAGAGAGTCTCTTTAAAACAACAAATCATATTTTACATCGTGGTGTAAAACAGGGAACCTGACTCTACATTAGAGGGAAGTGCCAGCAGTTAGTCTGTCTTTACATGGTTTGCCTTGTTTATTCGTTTGTTCGCTTCAACACTGCGATCATACACCAGCAAATTCAGCTCTACAGGTAGGTTTATAGGATCCGAACTCTTTTGTAGAGGAAGCTTTACCAAACCACAGCCCCAGCTAAAGTGTTCACACCCACAGGCCTCCTTCAATGATGGCCCTCTGCCATTCACATGCTACTGGAGGAGGGTTTTGGTTTGGGCGTTAGCTGAGACGGGTGGAGTTTGGCTATAGAGAGGGTGACAGCAGATACAGGAGGGTGGGGCTCTGTTCTCTGAATATCTAGGAGAAACCTGTTCTTTTCTCTGTTCTGGTTCTCCTGTAGTGATGTGAATTCACAAGTCATTCATTTTTCTACATTAGGAAAAAAGCAGAAAACACAAAAGCCTCAACCACAACGTATCACATTTTTTCAGTATTTAGTGTATCCATAGTAACCACATCTCCAAAGTTCAGTCTTAGAAGTTGGTTGCATTTTCTGCTTCTCACTATATATATGTATATATGTATGTATATACACATTATATGGACAAATGTATTGGGACACCTACATATTACACCTACAGGAGCTTTTATGACATCCCAGTCTAAATCCATAGGCATTCATATGGAGTTATAACAACTGCAGCTATAACAACTTCCAGAGGAAGTTGCCAGAGGAGGTTTGGATCTCTGCATTGATCAGCAGAGCACTGGCGACTTTTATGCTCTATGCTCCTCAGCACTCAGGGACCTGCTCTGTAACTTTACATGGTCTGACATTTCGTGACTGAGTTGCTGTGGCTCAGAAATGCTTCCATTTTTCAGTAACACCCCTCACAGTTGATTGTGGAATATCTAGAAGGGAAGAAATTTTGTGAACTGACTTTTCCAACGGTGAAACCCTATTACAGCACCACACTCAAATTCGAGCTCTTTAGAACGACCAATTCTTCACAAATGTGTGTAAAGGCAGACTGCACGGCTATGTGCTTGATTTTATAAACGTGGAAATAGGACTGAATGAAATACCTGAATTCAATGATTAAGAGGTGTGTCCCAATACTTTTGTCCATATAGTGTATATTTGTATATATCGTTTATGAACCTCTTTCTGAAGTTATCAGTCAAAATTCCAGCCATTTGAACATTTTTATTTTTATTTGTTGCTTTGTTAATAACAAAGATTGCACTGCGGTATGTTCTTTTCGTTACACATAGAAAATTTCTTTAAGAAATAGTCAGAAGGCACAATCAGTTTTTTTTTTACAATATATACATCTCAATCTAAATTATAAATACACAGAGCAAAGCAAACCCAGAATACAAACGCAGGCCCCAGTTACACAGAAAAAAAAAAAGATTTCAACATATAGATTCAGTAGCATGTTTTTTCTCTTTGAGTTAGCAATAAATTACTTAAAAGTGATAGAAATGCAAAAGAGAAGGCAATAAAAGGTGCAAAATGCATGCGGCACACACTCAATAAAGGGACAGAACCACAAATGCGCTATATGTCCATCATACAGCAACTCTTCTTCCACTTTTAGTGCAAATCATACACGAAAATGACTAACAGAAGCTCACTGGGTTAGTCACGTACATCACCTTAGAGTGCCGAGAGCACTGCTGTACTGTAGAGGGAAGATCATTAGAGTGCATCATCAGACTCACTTCATCTAATGTTAGAGCCCCAGTCAGGAATCATTAATAAGGACCACGGCCAGAGGAAAATGTGCCATCTGAACGTTCAGCTGTTTTCTGTGAATGAACTGAGGACCAGTGGGACTCTACTCATTCAGGTCTTTAAGCCCCTGAACAGGCTTTACTTTCAGACTTTCAGTTTTGGGCATTTCAAGGTGCCGTAAGCATATTTTTGGTTTGTTTGTTTTGTTCTGAATCGATGGAATGAAGATCTCACTTATCCATGAGCAGATTTCAGTGCACACGCCTCACATCACTTTATACATAATCTAGCTCTAAAAACGTCCAGGTTGGAGTTTTAATATTCTTCATGTGCTGGGAAACACAATTCAAATGGGTAAAAATACAATACGATAAAAAAGGAAGAGCGTTTTTCAGTATATTGGTTTGTGCTCGGTTGTCAGGTCATTCGGTTCAGGCAGTAATGAGACCGAATGGGCTAAGCCAGTGCTAGGTCTGTACGTGTGTAGTAAAAAAGACAGTATCGTCTTTTGTGAGCGCCGAAACCCAGTCGAATGTGTCCATTGCACAACATGTGTTCATGATTTGTCAGCATTTCATTTGGCTTACAGACTATAGATTTCTCACGCTATGGAGCAAAATAAAAAAAGAAACAGAAACAGTGTTGTTGTCTCTATTAAATAAATAATATTTGATCCATGCCTGTAGACAGTAAACACACTGCTAATAAACTAATAAGCAACATTTATGAGCGTGAAGCATTTTGCGTGCAAAGCAAAGTGACAGCTTTCGATATACAGATAAGACTTGCATACTGTGGGTGCTATAGAAGCCCATTCATGGACAGATAGACAGATAGAGTCAAAATCACCCAAAAAGGCTGTTTCTGGCAGCAGTATGTCAAAATCTTGTGAAAATAAGTCATTATCAATATTTTGGCATACTGATTCCAGAAACTGGGGGCAGCATGGTGGGAATGGGCTTCCATAGGGTGTGTATTAGTCTGTTGATTTGGGAAAAAAAAAAAAAAACAGAACATCAACCAAACACCACAAAACGTTTTTTTCCTGAGATAAATGTGTGGTCAGATGCTCTGTGAAGGAATTTTCTGATTCACTGCAATATTAACACCTGCCTACTGCAGTAAAGAAAAGCCCAAACAGGAATCAGCGCAACAAGGCATGAATATGACGAGTTCTTCAACAAATACAACACAATGTTTTTCATGTTTCATCAGTAAACTAACTTAGGCCCAATCCCATTTCACCCCTCGCCCCTACCACTGAGCCCTTAGCCCCCCGTTTTGCGTGTTCACATCTAGGGGTAGGGTGTCCCGATTCTTGTTGAGATAGAGGAGTAGGGCGAAGTGTTAGGGCTACATGGCCCTCCAAACGCAGGTTTCTCAGAGGCACACTCCAAACAGAGTGATATGAGAAAAAAGAAAAACCAACAAGATGGCAGTCCACAAATGTGAGTATTTTCTCTGTAAAAATTACAATAACCACTGTATTATCTTAGTTTAATGTGATTTCAGTGTATTATGGTCCTTTTCTTTACAACAAGCACAAAAAAATCGCTAACAGTATACTAATGTCTCGGTAGCTAGCTAGCTAAATTTCCCGTTCCACCTTAAATCATCCAGCAGTACTGATGCCTTAAGCGCCACATTGTAACTGCTGCTCCATTTAAGGTGGAGCGGGAAAAGACGAATGAGAAGAAGGGGAATATCTGACTTCAGTTTCATATCACTGAAGAATTAAAGGTGGGCGATAATAAGTAACTGTCACACCCCCCTCTGAAAGCATATGATGCCTTAAATATAACTAAAGCCCAGCAGTGAGGTTGCTGAATGGCAGGGTCGCCTGCAGAGCACTGCTAGTAGTCTGTTAATGAAGTAATGCTCTTTTTTTATTTGAGGGTCCCATTCTGTAGGGAAGATTTCAACTAATATATAACTCAGTTCCAAGGGGCAAGGTGACACTCGAAAACAACGGGTAGGGGTAAAAATATGAAATGGGATTAGGCTGTAGTCTTGGGGTGGCCTCTGCTGCAGTTTTACTGATTTCTGATTGGGGCTTCAAGCAAGTACAAATGTATTGTTGCATAAATTAAACAAGAACTTATGAACCTGTGCAGCAATATGGAACAGTGCAATACTATGGTGCAAAATTACACTTTTTCAGGTAAATATTATTTTTTTTCATTTGGTTTTCAGCAATATCACTTTCCTGTTCTGTTTCTATTGTTTGTTCTCACGCACACTTTGGATATCAGGAGAATATACAGTATGGAAAATAATATCCCTTTAACATAAATTAAGATGATATATCATTTATAAACATAAATGTGAGACTGGTGGTCTCTCCCATTACCCCACCTATGGAAAACATCTACATCTGTGTACAGCTGTTTTCAAACGGTCAATTCGTTCGGTCTTGTTGGTCTGATTCACTGACGGTTCCTCATACTTGGATATTTCTCTGTGATACCCAGTATGTACTCACACACAGTGCATCACACTCTAAACAAGACTTTTCATACTGGAGGGGCTACATCGTTTTGTTTTGTTTTGTTTTTTTTTTTGTTTTTGCATTTCCTGAGAGCATAAAATAGTAAGAGAGCATAGAATCACATTATTTTAAGACGATTAAAAGCTAAAGCCGCTAACATTCAGTATCATCGCGCACAAATCACTGCTGAACCACTACTGTCTTAACTCATTAGGAGTTAGAACAGGACCGACTGCTCTGCCGCGTAAAGAAGATACGAGCTCATCCAGGGACATTCCATCCATCCTCTCGTCTGAGTATGAGGTTAGATAAATAAAAACAATAAATAAATGCCAACGTGTTGTATACAAATATATACTGTACAAGAGTCTTTGTTTAGACTACATTCCCTAGTATGTTCCAAAGGCACTGTTTGAACAGTAGTCTGTTATCTTGCTCTCCGAAACTGCAGGAGAAGCTTGTCAGAGGAAGTTGTGAAACAGATACAGAACAGGTGGGGGTGTGGGCGGGGCTATCTTTCCAGTTTTGGTTTTGCCATTATGCATGAGTTTCAACCAAAAGATATGATGGTGTTTCTCCGACGTACCACAAGAGGGCAGTGTAACCCAATAAAGGCTGAATCTCAATTCAGGTTGCTACACCCTATATAGTGCAGTGCACAGGTCGTGAAACTATGGTTTCTGCACACACATATTTTAGATATGGGGTCGTGCAGCTTTGGCTGAATATAAACAGCCGTCTGTTACACATACAATGTACTTCTCGGCTGTAGAAGCCACTATTTCATAGTGCACTACATAGGGAGCAGGGCGGCATTTGAGATTCAGCCCAAGATCTAAACTGCTTTGAAAGCAAACATTTCAGAACATCTAGTTTGGCTGAATGTGGGAAGATATTATTTGGGATGGTGGTTTAAATTAAGATCTTTCTCTCTCTTTCATGGTGGAGCTCTGTCCGAGCAGTGGTCACCAAACACTCGTCCTGGAGATCTACCTTTGTGCACAGTTCAGCTCCATTTAGGCCACGTGTTTGGCTTCCGAGTTTGGCCAGTGATTAAAAGAATCATTAATATTTACTTGCCTTTTAACTTTTTCTGCATTCGTATCAAGTTATCGAGTACACCCAAACACTCAGTACTACCAAAGAGAGGCAGAACTGGACTCCGGACATGTCAGTCTGGTCACTACTTTAGCTTGGCAGTACTTTTGCAGTATTTTGCAGTATTTTGTTATGCTGATATTAGGGCTGGCCCAAAAAGCATTTTGAATAATTCTTGGTTTTTACACATGAACACTCCAATACTTCTCAAAGTCATCCTATGTCATTTCATAATTAACCATACTATCAAACATGTTCATTACTGCAGTTGAAAATACGTCCAGTAGATGGCAACAATACACTAGCAGAGCAGGATGAAGCCTAGCTGCTTGCACACCATATGCTGCTATAGCTGTGATGGCCGCCCTCTAGTTCAAATACAGCTTACATAAATCATGTACACACTAAGGGTGTCCTGAATTATAATTATTTTATCACCATCACAGTTTTAGTTTTAGTGTGTTTTAGTTGTGTTTATTTATTTAATCAAGTTTTATTTGGCTGGTTTGCTGTTTTTTATCATGGAAAACAGCAGCGAGGGCATCTTTACCCCTTTAGCTTCAATGTATGCGTGGAAAGTGGTGCAGGTTCTGCTCTGAGCTGAGGTGACGTGCCTAAACTAAACCAGCTATACTTTGTTTTTAATATTTTCCATATTGTAACAACCAAAGCAATATGCTGATGAAATGTGCTGTGGTTTAGGCTATATTTTTTGTGGCTTTAAAAAAGACAAAGGCTCTGAATACTGAACAACTGAATGCTACTGTAAGGAATGTGTACTCAGTATTCAAATTACTCGGACCAGCCCTAGCAGATATAGCAACTGTTTGCAAAAAATAATATGATTTCACCAGATTTTTCATGAAAATGAGCTATTTTATATGTGAACAGGGAGCAGGATCTACTAAAATAGGAGCCTGGTCCAATCCGGGTGGGGCAAGATCCAGCACGTTTGCACCTCAAGCCCTGACTAGAACTAAACTTTGCAGGAAGGCAGATCTCTGGGAGCTGGGCTGATGACCACAGGGTCTAGAATGTGGATGAGGCCATGCAGGCAGTGATGAGACTACACACTAAATTGTCTAATGAGCCCCATTGGTCTGTACTACTAAGCTGTATTACAGAGCCAGTGGGCCGGATGGTCTCACTATGGTGAAATGAAGTGAATGACGGACTGGCGAGAGTCCGAGCCACGTAGCATGCTGTTCAGCACCTCTTTGGCGTTGATGCCTGTGTCGCTGGGGCAGTTAGCACTGGGCAGAGCGAGGGAGGGCTGGTCTGAAGGTGAGAGAGAGGAAAACAGCGACAGTGAGGAGGAAGACGAGGACGGTGTGAGCGAGGGGGAGAAAAGAGACGAAGAGGAGGATGAGGACGGGATGGTGGAGCTGGAGAAGAGGTTCATCGAGGCTTGCTGTGTGGCCGTGTGCAAAGCGTCCGACGAAGAGGTGTTGCAGGGTGATATTTCTGGCAATGAGTTGAGGAGGTCAATGATGTCCTGCTGAACGTCCTGCTGTTGCTGTCCCTGCGTGAAAGCCTCCAGATTAAAGTCCTCCACAGCTCCGAGGCCGGCCTGCGTGCTGTCTGGGGAAAGGGGCATAGGGCTGTGCTCCCTCAGGTCAGGGAAGCCATCGATAGGGTTCCTCAGTGAAGGGAGGGAGGAGAAAGAAGGCAGAGAGGAGATGAATGGTATGGGATGGGGGTAATGTGTAGCCAGGCTAGACAGGCTGGGCAGCTGTGGAGGCTGGGAGAAAAACTCAGTGAAGTCTCTGTGACCACCCTGCAGCAAACTCCGACGCTGCTCGGCCGCACACTGCTCGGCCAAACGCTGCTCCTGAGCCTGAAGCTCCTTCTCCTGCCGCTTTCTCTTCACCTCCTTACCTATCCTGTCTAACTCCTCTCGGACCTGAGTCACGCAGTTCTCCGGGATCTTTATACCTGAGAAAGAGGGGGATTTGAGACTTACTACATTTACTGTGCTAGTATAGACACACTACTACAGCACTACACTGATCTTCAAACAAAAGAGGAAAAAACCCCACAAAAATTCATAATTTTATCATTTAATCAATATATTTTTAAAAAGTACAAACTAGCGTCATCATTATCAGACAGAGTGCAGTCATAGCGGACTTTTAGTTTCCTTACTGGCAAACCTAAAATAAAGAAAGAGAGAGAGAGAGAGAGAGAGAGAGAGAGAGAGAGAGAGAGAGTGGGGGTTAAGAGACAGGGAAAGAGATAGACAGATAGTGCTAGAGAAAAGGAGGAAAAGAAATGCAGACAGTGAAAAAAGAGAGAGCAAGAGACAGAGACGAAATGAAAGACAGACAGGGAAACGAAGAAAAAGCAACAGAAGAAAGAGGCTGAGAAAACAAGAGAGGGACAGAAAGAGAAGATACAGTGAGTGAGAGAGAAAAAGAGAAAAACAGACCAAAAGGAAAGAGAAAAAAAGAAAGAGAAAGAGAGTGAAAGGAAAAGAGAAAAGGAGAAAGAAAGAAAGAAAGAAAGAAATAGAAAAAGGAAAGAAAGCAAGCAAAAAAGAAGACAGTAAAGAAAAAGAAAAGACAAGGATAGAAAAACAGTAAAACAGAAAGTGAAAGAAAAGGGGTAAAAGAAAGAAAGAGAAAGAAAGAAAGAAATAAAGAAAGACAGAGAGACAAGGAAAGACAGAATTAAAGAAAGAACAAGAGGGGAAGAAAGAGAGAGAATGAAGAGCAAAAGAGAAAGAGGGGAAAGAGAACGGAAGAAAGAGAAGGAAGTCAGCAAGAGAGAACGAAAAAAAGAAAAGGCAAAAGAAAGGAAAAGCAAGAACTACAGACAAAAAAAACAGAGAGAAAGAGACAAAAGAGAAAAACAAAGAAAGGAAGAGAAAAAGAAAGAGAGAAAGGCAGAGGAGGGAGAATGAGAGACAAGAAAGAAAGAGAAAGAAAAGGCAGAGAGAGAGAGAGAGAGAGAGAGAGAGAGAGAGAGACTCTGAAAACACAGACATCCTGTATCCTTTCACTCCTTCTCTGTTGGAGATGCTCCTGCAGACACTCACCCACTTGCTTGTGTACTCTGGTTTTGAGGCGGACGATCTGCAGGATGCTGGAGTTGGTGATGTCTGCCACCACGTCAGCCACGCGCTTCCACACACACAGAAGAGCGCCGCACAGAACGTGGTACTGCCGCAGACGCATGCCCTGCAGACACTCCTGCCCCTCATCAACCTTCTTACACCGGCCGTTCCTACACAAACACACAGACGCTCATCACACAGGCTGTCCAGCGACTGACCATGTCTCTGATGGGGGAAATAAACGAGGCCATCCACACTCACCAGTTAGCATGGCTACATTTCCTCAAGGAGAATTCATACTGGGTCTCCCAGCTGTCTTTTGCCTCCTCTGGAGTCACCTGCGATCCAGTCATTACAAATGTTATTCACAGCTTGGCAAAGTAATGTATGTTGCTATTACAACAAAACTTTACACTAAGGGTTCAGAGAATCGCACAGTGCGCCTCAAACTGACTCTATGACACTCTCAGTCCATTAGGGGTCATTAGAGAAGTTAAAAATAACCAACCCTCAAAGAAATAACCACAAGATGGTCCCCTTTAGCTTACTGTTAACAAACTCTGTGGGGCCTGTCTCACGAAGGTGGATCAATATTTGCCATGCTACATCACCCTGGCAACTTACGCTGCACCTCTATGGCCTGGAAGAACTTCCATGCAAATTAATGCTGATGCAACTTGTTTAGCTTTTTATACGGAAGTGTATTTCCGCTAGGTAGGAGAAAAGGGCTGTGTCCCAAATCACATGCTACAGAACCAAAGAGTGTGTAAACAATAGTGCACCACCATTTCTATGTCAAGTATAGAAGTGCATGGTTTGGGATGCAGCCCAAACCTTTTTTTTCATCAAACTGTAACTCATTAGGATAATTTAATGATTATTGCCTCAAGATTTTAGGTAAAAATGACATTATTGATAAAACTGAGACAATTTTCCTATTTCAAAACACATTCGTTTGGTGGTTTGAGCTGAACTCGAGTTGTGCCGAGTGCATTTAGAGTTGCCGTGATATTGTAAAGTCCCTGTGCAATTTCACTGAGAGCTTCCTGCTCGATTGGGAGCTGCACCATTTTCACTTGTGGTGAGAGTGTCCTCTTAGCTCTGCGCAGTGCATCAAACTACAACTGGGACATTTGTGTAACAGAAGTCTCAGAGCAAACAACGAAGTACCAAAGTAATTTGCAGCTTCTGTACTGTAGTGATTGCAGAGCCAAAGAGTCTCACAATAGTTTGTGAAAGAAACCTGTCAAATCATTATTTAGATCAGGGGTGTCAAACTCAACCACTAGAAGAGCCATATTAAAAAATCTCAATAAATCTGTGGCCCAGAGAACACCTACAACGTTTTGCTATGACCCTAACTGGCCATTGTTTATTCAGAATATGCAAAAACTGCAAGAGAAAAATACAGACTATCCTATTTGCCTATTTGCTTGAACTACATCTTTTCTTTTTGTGATGTAACCGCTTTCCCAAAGAATGCTGAAGGAGGAGGATAAGAGTGCGCATTACATTGCAGTGCATGCTGGGGACTGTAGTGCAGTGAACTGTGCAACAGGCTGCTTTTAATAGAAAATTGGGCCTTGTGTTTGCCACATGGGATATAGACAAAACCTGCTCCTAAGACACTTTGATGAGTGTAAAATATATCCATACTGCGAAATACCAGTGTGATTCACAGTTTTACTAAGATTAATTCTTTCTTTTTTATCATCAAATGAAAAATAATATGACATGGTGAGCATTTACAATTCCTTTTCTGTTTTACTCGAAAATAAATGCGACTCGCTCTTTTCTCCGATTCTCAGCAACTACATTGGCAGCAAAAATGAGACAAGCTTTTCTCAGGTGTTAAACAGCGCACAGTATTGCTATTTCGTTAGTGCTCAGTATTTACTATCAGCTTTAGTAAATAAGAATAAGTGCTTCATTCTAAAAAATATCTCCTCCCAGTATTTTGCACATTGGGATACATGAATATGTAATGAGGCAAAAGTGCAACCGTCCCTTTTCATCTTTTTACAGGCGCTAAAGACGCTGTCCTTTTGTAGTAAATTAGCCGCTTTTTAATACTAAAACAGGGTTTGCGACGGCACAAACTACTAATAAATCTTCCCCCTAACCTGCTCGAGGGCAGGTTAGGTTCAGGATTTCAAATCATAAACAGGTCTTAGACAAAGCAGAGCCGAGCCTCTGATCAGGGAGAGCCTTCAAGTCCTTTTCAAGTGACTTATTTTCTCCTTAACAGGTATGGAACATCAATCATGGGAAGAACATCACTTTTCAGCAGCTGAAACACATACTGACCGCTTACACGGCCGCCGGCGGGCCCAAAGTTTTATTACACGCTTTTATACCTTAGAACAGCTCAACCAGTTTGCCCTGAAGTTGCAATTGTACTGAATTGTTACTGAATAATAAATCTTAGAATGTAAAAAGTCCGGGATTTTAAGGGGTTAATGAAGCCATCATTACTCCAACGTGCACTAACACAGTAGCAGTGAGGACAGTGTAGCTGTTAAGCCTTACAAAGCTTTACTTTCTACATATTTACGATTTGTTTTCCTTTCAAAAATAAGCTGTCTGACTCCTCATGTTTCACGTAATTGTCTGGTCGTCATGAATATCACACTTTCATTTGCACACGCATGAGGGTTAATCATAATTTGAGCACCTAACCCTGGGTTAACAGAGAAAGGTGTTGAAAAACTTGTTAACCACCATCACAAAAGAAGCTAACTTTGACAGAATTTGTTAGGTTTTGTGAAGCTGAAACCATCTAAATAAAAAGTGTGACATCACATTCAGAACACTGCAGAAACCATCAACATCATATTCAGTTCACCATCATATTGGATAAGTGCAGAGTTAAAATGCTCAGAAATAAAAAAAAAAGAAAAATAAAGACCTTGCGGTACTTCTTCTGGATGTTCTCCAGGTTCTCCGTTTGTTTCTGTTTGCCAACGTTGGGCTTGTAGACCACCAGGTTGTGGCCCCGGCCTTGCTCAGCAAGCAGCACACAGGGGTGACTCCCTCTCAGCTGTGGGGGAGACAGACGCCAGAGCTTACAGTCTGCGAAAACAGTCTGTTAGGATGTCTTTGTAGGGGGGGAGATGCCTGAAGGCTGACATATTATATTAATTGTGTTCTTTTATCTGCTTTCCTGTTCACGCCCCCAAAGCTTTTGTAATAAATGATCCAAGAATGATCTGATAGTGAACCTTTCTTCACCCCTGGAAGTTTGTCAGGCTTTGCTTCTTCACAGGAACCTTTCATTATTTTCATATTGGTAGTTACAAAGGAGGTTAAATGCAAATGTGAAATGAGAGATGTGAGACTGCTTTGAGTCCTGTTCAAACACAAACCTTGTGGGAGAGATAGAAGCCTTCGTGTGTCTCACTAAGCGCTTCAGCCTTCCTCAAGGCCTCCTCCCAGGGCATGCCTCTGTCCACGCTGATCTGCGAGGCGTAAGAGAATATTTGCAGGTTTAGGCATATTTCTGACTTTTTATCACAGTTTAAGACCATTAACATGGCAAGCTTTACGCTTGGGGTTGGTGATATGGCAAAAATATCATATCAGCATTCGGCAACACTTTATGGATGATTATATAGATGATTAATAAACTAATAATTATTAGAGTATCAGTATTAATAGAGTATTAATAGAGTATCAGTAACACATCAACTACATATCAGTGAAGTAGCAGTAGTGAAGCATCGGAATACATTGAAGTAAATATCTTGCAGATGTTCTGTTGATACTTTACTTACATTAAGTAAATGTATCGTTAATGTTACTGCCATTACACAAAACCTAATCTTACCCAACCCAAAACCTAACCCTAACCCTGGCTCTAATCCTAACCCTAACCTCACCTCAACCCAAAACCTAATCCTAACCTTCATATGTTTTTTAAATGTTACTGACAGCCTATTGAGTGTTTGTTTCATCTAAAAAGGACCACTCAAAAAGTTTTACCCACAATGCCTCAGTATTTTGACACACAGACACAATGTACTAGTGGTTCTACATTTAAAAACAACCATCAAAAACAGAGTACAGGACTAATGAGGCTCTCTTTTTAATGAAGCATTGAATTGTTCCTCGCTCTTTAAGTACTGCAGATATCGACAATCTGCTCAGAGAAGCATTTTTTATCACAATAACAAAACTTATCACAATAAAATATGGTCATACTGCCCACCTCTACTTCGTCTGAAAACATTTAAAAAAAGCCAGGAGACATCAGTAGGTTTTCATTTACATGAGTAACAACGACTGCCAATGTATATGTAAACTAAAACTACAGCTAACTAGTACAACAGTAAGAGAAATAATGGTGAGTTTTGGACCTGTTTTGCAGTTTGCAGTAGGCTGTGTTATGATAATCTGCAGATAATCCTAGACAGACAGCACACAGGTCTGACTCCTGCTTGCTTTACACAGCCTACTCTATTCTGAAGAAAAACCACAGAGGAGGAACTAGCTGTAGCCGGAATCCAGACAGGTGTGATAAAACTATCCTTGTTGTCTTTACCGGCAAAGTGAGAAGCCAGTAGCAATTATCATATTTTATAGATTGTTCCACTTCGGAAATGTTGTCAGGGTTTGTTCTCTGCGTTTTGTAACATCTGAAACAGCTGTGCATCATTACAGCGTGCAAGCATGTAAACACATAAACCAGGGGTCACTAATCTCGTCCAAAAGGGGCCGGGGGGGCAGGTTTTCTTTACAATCAACCAGATGCATAATTGATTGCACTTGTTTAATCAGTTGGTCTGTGTGCTTGATTAAAACAGGAGAACCTGCAGGAGTATCGGTCCATCTACGATTAGTGACCCCTGATAAAGACAATATGAAATTTGACCGCACATACCATTCAGAGCTGTTTTTCCGTCATCACTGGAAATACGCAATGTTCCAGAAAATTCTTTCCAAGTAGGATTTGGGATACGAACACTGTGTGCTTTTTTCTGCTCTTGCACAATGATCAAGTTTTCAAAGTAATCAGTGTTAATTGTAGCTGATGGACCAAATGGATTCATTCTGCAGTTTCCCTCAAAACTGCCTCAAGTTGAGAAAAACACCTCTAAGAATTTGTAGACTAACAAATCTCCAACTCTCTGGAGAACCGCTTTAGGCTCATTAATATTCGTGAGAATTTTGGAGACGTTACAAGCAACACAGGAAATCAACCTGAGCAAACGCACAAAAAAAGCAGGGAGTCTGAACTGTTATCTGCTTTATCGAAGACCACAGCAAGTTCTTGTGAAGCCATGTGGTAAGACCTCAAAAAGGCAAAAATAGCTGTTAAACTTTAAGACTGTGCATATGCTCAATGATGACTGTGTGCTTATTTCTCATCATAAATGTTTATCCACACAGGTGCTCAGTATGAAACTGACCTTATGGAGAATAACTTGGCCTTCCTGAGGGTTTCCTGGAGTCAAAAACGTCTCCTGAGTTTCATTATAGATCTCATCATTACCAGGGGCCAGGTCTGTGAAGAAACAGAGAGAAGACGCTTAGTAATATACACCACATAGTAACACTCTATCTACAGAGTGGATGCAACATTAATACTGCAGTTATATTGATAGATATTATGACTGTGATATCATTAACCTCTTTCTGCAGGCCCCCTAGTGGCCATTCTGCCAGTACAACAGAGGTTGCCTTGGATATTTTTAATTAATATAATGGGATAAAACATTTTTCCCCCATAACTGTTTTATCAAATTAACCAGGACACTGTTGTCTTTCTGTGTGCGTGAAATGTTGCGACTTTGTATTGAGCAACGAGGTGTGAAAGGGAGGGGTGAGAAGCCCCTGCTATGAAAAACATTCACACCTCTCCACAAAGACAGGCGTGCTGAGATAAAACAGACAGCATAACTGCAGCTTTCATGACATCAAACAATCCTGTACAACTGCGGTAGTAAAAAAAGGCATCTAAACACAACAGAACAATTTTTATAAACGCTGACTTCCTTGTTCCCCTACAAAGTTACTGACAAAGTCAATTTTGAAGCAAAATTCAACTGAGGGACCTCCAAAACAGGTGGAAACTGCTTTTTAGGGCTACCACGAAAATACGTTCAAGATACAAACATAATTTGTTGGATTACATGAATTCCATGATTCATTAAAACAGAGCAGTCACTGAGAACTCTGACTGGTCAAGATAACCCTGTGATTGTTTAGTGGGTTCATCTGCATCTTGCGGCTTTCTTCAATATATAAGGCCAATATTGCAATAATGATTAACAAATGCTATTTTATGCAGCCCTACTACAAGTATGTAAAACAGTAAATGATAATACTATACAGGGTTTCCTTACCCAAGATCCCCATGTCGTATTTGCCCTCCTTCTTGTCCTTTTCGATTAGGTAGTCAAAATTGTCAGTGAAGTACTGGAAGAGCGAGTTCTGCTTGTGCACCTCGAGACCCAAGATACGGTTGAGGAACTTTGTGATGGAGCAGTCTGTGGAGAGTCACAGAGTCAGAGCATGTACAGTCGTCACCTCTGGTCAAATGACGTTTTGCTGATGAAGTAAAAAGTAAGTTAACATATTCTCTGCAGAGAATACATTTCTGCACATTTTTATGCACAAATACTGTTTTTCTTTTGCTGAATTTTTCATACTGGGCAAAAATTATGGCATATTGTATATTTTACAGTTGAAAAGTCTGAGACCACACTGGAAATCTGTTTTTTATTATTTAAACCTGGAAATAAACAACAGAAAGTTTTGGAATTTTGAAAAATTGAAAAAAAGTTAAAATGAAAAAGATTTTTTTTTAAATTCTGAAATTTCAAGGTCACTATTCAAATTTGTGAAATTCACCGTATTAAGGTATTTTTCAAAAGAGTCAGACTGTTTTCCATTGAAATGTGCTCAGATGACTTTCAGGTGGAATTGATCTGCTCACCAGAAGCTTTTGCACAAACTTATGGAGACCAAGCCAGCTTGACTGCATGCTATCATTAAAGAAAAAGGGGGGGCAAAAACACTGAGAAATTCTGAAATTCATGTAAATATTAATTCTGCTTTTCGCTCAGACTGTTATGTTGATGATATCATTTGTAATGAAAAACTAGAATGAAATTAGGAACAATAAATGTGGTCTCAGAATTATGGACCCTGCTGTATATAATATATATAAGTAGGGACCAAAAATCTATATATTATTAATATATTGGTATATATATTGGTATATATACCAATATGTTAAACCCAACTAACAAAAACAGGCAGAAAAATACCAGATTATTATTTATATTAGGTTTATTCCCTTTAAAGGATGTGCTAACTTTCACTTACAAAATCAACAATTCATTTCCCCAGGGGGTGTTCAAACCTTTGCATACAATGGTATATAAATGCGTATGTATATAGTATACATGCATAGAATAAAGGCTGAAAATGTACTAGATGGACCATTACTAATGAAAAGAGCAGGATGAAGACCTCACCTTTCTCAGGACTAATGCCAACACGAGACTCCTTGCAGAAGATGCCAACATCTATCATGCCTTGCTTCATTTCTAACATAGTAGAGACATATACAATGTATTTCTCTCATATGCACACACATACACACATTTGATTGCTTTATATGAATCCAAAGAATATGACTGACATTACAGTTATGTCACATGGATACTGTGCCTCTATGATTCTATGGATGGTTTCCACCTTAGCAGCAGAAAATCAGTACACATGGCAAAAACTATCAGTACCTTCTTCTTTTAATTAGGGATGTGCATTCAGACTAATTTTGACATTCGAGTATCCATAAGAGTTAATGAACGGATATTTGGTTAATAGCAGGGAAATACTTTGGTATGAATCAGAACAATAAAAACAATACATTTAGCTGCATTAAAAATATTTATGCTCTGACAATTTTACGTAATTTTACTTAATCCATGAAATGAGTGTAAACACATACACTTACATATTGAGTGTAATGAGTGTAAACACATACACCTATATATATGAATATTATTATAATTGATTATAACCATTTCTATCATTCTAAAATGGATGCAGTTAAAATTTAAAAAATAAAAAATATCTGTTTTGCTGCCACACAGCTTTAGTCTTACCTGTAAAGAACATGGCGTCACCACCAGGATAGTCTTTGGGAGGAGGCACCTTGCTCTCAATATGTCCAAGTATGGCTTTGGTGATCTTATCTAGAGCCTTGGTACCGTACTGATGAAAAAAAAAACAAAAACAGGCCACTCAAGGGTTGGTTTATGACTCACTCAGATAATCTCCTACAGAAACTGCCCCAGATAAGAAAGATTATCTTACTTTATTTTCAAAGTTGTACTTGCTCAAGTCTCTAGATTCTGTGGCTCGTCTGTCACCGTGCGTCAGAGCTCCCTGTGGAAAGATTCAGAAACTGTAACTACTTCTAGAAGTAAAACCAATCCTAAACTTGGTTTCATTTTCACAACATTCACCTTACAAAACATTAATATTACTAGTTTCAACTTCTTGTCCACAACTACATTCCAGTGTATCTTTATAGATGATACTGCAGCTTTGGGCAACACTGTATTAAAAATGGATGACTGACACCGCTCGCCAATATAAAGTGCTTTTTCTTCTTCAAGGGGAATTTCACTGATCTTTGCTGAGTTCTGCATATTTAAAGGGTTTAGATGTGAACAAAGTCATTCAGAGTGGTTTGATGTGAAATGCTCTGCTGACTCTGAGAAACTTACTGAGTCAGAATTGGTCACAGTGGTGGTGATAGGAAGAAGACAACTGCCTCTAAAAGCTATATCACAGAAAGTTATTATATAAAGTGGTTATGAAGGACTGATGAAGGCCTGATTCCTAAAACAGTGTTTTGGGATAGTATTGAGGTACATGCAGGGTGTTGTAAGACAAAATAGTTCCCAAAGAAAACCTGTTTTTTCAGACTTGCCACTATTTTACCATCATCAACATCACCTATAAAACTCAGGAAACAAGTGCAGGTTGCAACCTGTGGTTCCCATCACCACCATTGTAAAGGCAAGTTCGTCTACAATGAACCGTTTCACGTTAAACTAGTCTGAACGACTTACATCTCAACCACTAAATAATGCAGAAATTTTGAAAATTCTTGAAAACTCTGAGATGAGATTTGGCATTTGTATTTAAATGTTATTACATAATTACATTTTTAATATTTTAACATTTTAAACATAGTAAGCTACACAATGCAAATCATTGAGATAAACATGTCAAAAAAGAAAAAAGAAACATAGCTTCATCTGTTGTAAACATGCACCATGCCTCCTACAGTTCTGTCACAACAGTCTCCAGAGAGAGCTTTTCTAGTTTAAAGACAAGGAAAACCCCTTCTGATGATGTATATTGAAGGTAGGAGGAACTTAAAAAAAACCTACAAGTACATTGTGGTGAATATTTGAGGGAGTGCTCTTAGAATTCATTTTTTCTGCTAGGTGGTGAATGTAGAAGTAATCCAGACAGCTAAAGTTACTAGGAAGCTGAATATCACTTCCGTATTTCTGAGCCTCTACATTATGGCTACACTGGCAGGATTACTATAGGCTTTGAGGGGATTCCCAATGGTTGTATTATACATTTGCACAGTGCATGCTGGGTATTGTAGTATGTGAACTATTAACACAATAACAATACAAAATCCTGAATTCTGAGGGATGCAGTGCTGTGTTACACAACATTACAAATAACATATTCATCACTAGTTTTAGCCTGGAATGCCTCTTTAAACAACTGAACAATGACAGTTTAGCCGAATGCAGCACAGATGGAAACCCTTACAAATATTCGCTTTGAATTAATCTAGGTTATAAGGCTCGGGTTATCTTATATATCTCTGCTGAATGGATTAGATAAACTGGCATCAGATTAAAGTTAGATTGAAAGTGAGTAGGATGTCTCAATACTTGCGCCTGCTCCTATTTCAGTTTGCACTGCCAGAATGACTAATGTCAACCAACTGAAAGTGGTAGACCCCGTTAAAGTGAGAAACAAGCCATCGTTTCCTCGCTCGGAGAACAAAGTGAGGAGAAAAAACGTTCTCCAGCGAGACATTGTAACACCACTTGAAAGCATCAGCTGACCTTTAAACTGCGTGAATATTTTTTGATAAATGGACCGACAGAAATGTCCAAACTGTCCAAACTGACTTAAAATAAAATTCTCACATCAAAGTCAAGATTGATTTTTTCCTACAGTTTCCGTTTTAGACATCTGAGGTTTTGTTGTAACAGCGATGAAGTGCTTTCATTAGTATACAGAAGTAAAAAATGCTCAAGTTTGATAAATAGACTGCTTCTGAATGTGTGAGGTCCTATACAGTGAGAAATGTAATGACTATACGGTTCATGATCATTACAAATATGTCATTACCCCAGCACAATAAGTCAAAAGTCATTATTTCTCAGTCATGGGGGAACATGGGGGGAAATGCCCCCCTTAAGAACAACATCCATTTACTGTAAAGCTAAATCATATCTGTGTATGAGTTTATCATGTACTGAAATGATCATGCATAAACCTAAACACAGTCAGAGGAAAGAAACAGCAGCTAATTCTGTTTTATAGCACAAAAAAGAAAATGTTAAGAAGGGGCATTTTGGCCCACTCTCAGGGAAAGAAGTCTCCTTTCCAGGGGTAAGAACCCCCCTGGTGAATATGGCAGCAATTTATCATCTGTTTTCTACAGAATGTATAATTTATACATCCAATCATTTTATTTTAGGAACAACACCACACACTGTATATTTTAAAATGAAATATAAAATCAAAAATTAACGATACTGATTCATTTAAATACATTATGACAAAAAGCAAATGACAGTAAAACAGAAATGTCAATATTTATTAAATATTTATTGTGCTAATTTTATAATCATACTATGTAAAGTAATTCAATGCTATTATTATTATTATAATTATTATGATTATTATTATTACTCATCACCAGCAAGATGGCAAAAAATGTTTCTTAAAAATAACTAGAATGCACCATGTTAATGTTGGCCAGTCAGCAAACATGTTATTATTATTCTTGGAGGCTGCATCCTCTAAGTAATGCTATATGTTATTTGTTCATTTTGATGGTTCATGATCATTACCTGAGATGTAATGGCACTATAAGGCGCAATATGCTAAGCTGGCTAGGCTGCAGAAAATCAGTGACTCTGTGTCTATTTTGACCGTGTATCTGAGGGCATCTTACCAGGCTCTCCAGCCTCTTAGCCACAATAGAAGCAAAACGTCTCTCGCCGGCCAGTTCAGAGATAAGGAAGATATACTCCGGCGCTGTGACCTGGTTGGAGCGGTGAGTGCGACCTGGGCCAGAGGATGAAAATAAGTGAGTTCATGGTTTACAGGGTGGTGGTAAGAATGTCCTGCTTTACGGGAACACTAGATGTGTGGTTTGGCATCGCAAGCCTTGCGGTTTGGCACTGTGAGTAAAATTACCGTCAGGTCACTACAGCACTGCAATTAACCTACATTAACACCACATAGTGAGTGGCCCACAGTGGCCCAATCGGAATAAAATCAGCCCACAACACGCAGCTGCACAGATACTGTTGCTGATGTAATAGCAACTTTGTAGGAAAAGGAAAAAATGTTTTGAAATTTAATGTATGTTAATGCAACAAAGTTTTATTCCAAGTAATTGTGGATACTTTTTATTGGTCAATTTAGTTTGGGGTACCACCATATAAAATACCATCATACTTCAAGACATTTTCATGATATTGTCATATGTCATATATTTGTTTATTACATATTTCGTTTTTCTTAGATTGCAGAAAAAGCTCCAGCTGCGCCACATTTAAAAATACTATGAAAACTATAAATACAATGATTTTTATTCAATGTTTAACACACCACACTGCACAAAATCCAATAAATAAGACTAATAATGCACTCTTTGTAATGTGCATTTGCTTGGTTTTCTCTAATTGCCCACCCCTAAATTCAGTATGAAATGCAATACATCAATAAATGTATTAATTAATTAAAATTGGAGTTAGAATATTTATTTATACAAACACAATTATATGTGTAGAAGATAACAAGTTGAAATGATGGTGAAAAATAAATGACTAAAAGCAAATGAGAAGCAGTATAGCAGGTTTATGGAACAGTGACCCACCGAACTGCTGGATGGCGCGGTCAGCGCTCCAGGGCAGCTCCAGGGTCATGTGGACACGTCTGCACTGGTTCCTCACCCGTCTGTCTGCCTGCAGAGAGATCCCTGAACTGGCTGCCTCAGAGATTATAGCCACCAACTAAGGTGAAAGAGAGACAGAGAGAGAGACAGAGAGAGAGAGAGAGAGAGAGAGAGAGAGAGAGAGAGAGATAGAGATTTTTCTTTACAGGAATCATTTTTCCATGATGCTCGCAGGTGGGTTTCGCAATTAGTCAAACTGAGTTGACTTGCGTGTTTTAGAGAAGTTCTTAAACCACATTTTTTTGGTCCATCACTCACCTTATCTCCATTCATGAAGCGATCCTTCTCTTTGATGTTGATGTGGTCGATTGTGTGACCCTGCTCAGCGCGAGATTCATAGCGCACGCTCCCATCTGGCCTCCGGACCACACGTCCCTTACGTCCTGTCATCTGTTCACACACCCACAAAAAGATGAAGAAAGAGGTAGAAAACACAATTACTGTAGTTCCATAACAACAGCTACAAACTCAGAGTGCTCACAGCTAGACAACAAATTACATTCAACACTGGACCACAGTCAGAGACCATCACTTCATTTATTTAATGTCTGGTTAAAACATCCAGTCCAAAGTAGCATCTATATAGGAACTATATTCAACAGAAAATTAAACAAAAGCCTTAACGACTAAAGATGATGTCAATGTTTGCCCACTCTTTGCCTTTATTACAGCTTCCATTCTTTTTCGGGAGACTTGCTTTGAGTTTTTCAAAGAAATCCACAGGGGATATGTTTCCACACCTCCAAAGTTCAGTCTTAGAAGTTGGTTGGACTTTCTGCTTCTCACGATCCACATAATCCCAAACACATTCAATGATGTTGAGGTCTTGACTCTGGGGTGCTCAGTCCATTATTCTAAGAATACAGCAACTTCTTTGTTTGGTTCAAATATGTTTTTCTTTTTTGTCTCTTTCCTTTTCCCAGTAAGAGCTCGTTGAGAGCTACACATTCTTTCAGGCTCATAGTGCTGAGTTGTCTTCTCACAGTCGAAGGATGGACAGAAACACCTGTGGATTTTTCAGATCTGAAGCAAGAGTGGAGCCTGTTTTTCTCCTCTCTCTCAAAGATGACAGTGTTAAGCACTGTGTAACTGATGAGAACAGTTTTGGTAATAAAACCTCAGAAATATCTCCTGAAAAACGAACACCTTGTACTTCATGTCTGTTTTGAGTGTAAATTAAATTAATGAAGGGTGGTCTCTGACATTTTGCACAGTACTGTACACCTATCTGGTTTACTTGTCTTACCTCAGATACTTTCTCTGGACCTCCGAATTTATCTATGAGCTCATCCAGTGTGTTTAGAGGTAGTTCTTTTCCGAGCTCTGAGATTTTGTTCAGAAGGCCTTGCTTCATTTCCTCCAGTCGAGCTGGTGAGCAAGAAAGAATTCTCAACATGTTCATTTTTCAATTACTACTTTTCAATTATAAATGAAACAAAAAACTTTCTAATGACCTAAATTATTTGAACTTTTTGGTTCCCATAATAGCATGGGCTACATAAAAATATCATTATCCATAGAGTAAATTGTACTGTATGTACTCTACCAGCATGACAGTTGGTGTGGGTAACAAAGATGACATCATCGCTGTTGTCCTGGAGCGAATCGGGAGAGGAGTTGGAGTCGCTGTCCACTGCATCAGACTCTGTACTGCTGTCATCGCTGATGTTAATGACCGCTCTTCCATCTGCAGCCTGCTTTGAAAACTTCGGGTGCCTGCCGCGGGGCTTCCCTACACCACATACAAATAAAGCACAATGCTGACAGTTACAGACCCCAACGTGTATATCACAGGGTAGAATTACGATATAAGCCACATATTCTGTTACAGAAATAATGCATATGCTTTCTTTCTGATTAGCTAGACAAACTGATTTGCCTGAAATGAATTAATAAGTAATAAACACAATCTTTGAATGACTGAGCAATACAAAGAACTGCTTCAGGATGCTTCACATGCAGAAGCATCAGTAAAGACCTACGTTTCCTCTTGCTTCCTGCTCCTTTCTCTCGTTGCTCTTTCTCCAAAGGAAAGTGCTTCTGGACCAGGGACTGGAACACACCTCTGAGAACACAGAAAATAAACGATGACTATCCATAACTCTTAAACACTATCAGTCAAAAAGAACGAGAACGTATGTTATACAGTGATTAAACTGTTTTTTATTGTGTTTATACTGTCTGTTCATTTAAAGGAGGAAAACCACAACCAATGGCAGATGTTCCCACAACACAATGCTCACAATATAGGCATGATTTAAACCTACTTGTCCTTGTAGGACTATGCTGGGAAATGCATAGAGAAGAAAAATCCGACGAATTGAGATGCTCTGGGCAGACGACAGCAGTGAAGAATGTGTAGAAACCAGTTTCTTTAAATCATATTTAGGAAAATATGACAAAGCAGTGTGAGGTTGTCTTTAAAACTAGAGAGCCTACAAAATGCTGGGCGTAGATACCCCACAAGATCTCAACTGCCTTTTAAAACAAATTTCACTTAATGAACTGTGGCATCTGGCACTGTGTTGTCGGCAAGGGTGGATCTAGGGCTAGAGCCACAGGGGCACTGGCCCCAGGAGAAATCTGACTAGCCACTTAAGAGTCCCCCCTCCAGATACTTGCCACCTCCAGTCACATCACTGACAAACTCGTCACCATTCTGTGAAATTCCTGGATTTGAATGGTGAATATGCTACTCACATGAATTGTGTAGAGTTTCAGGAGTGCTGCTAGATAGTATTAACTAATGCTAAAGTTACTGGAAATCAGTGCTTTAATGGAACTGCTAAGTGGAACTTCTCCTATACAACAGAAATTTCTTAAGCAGTTAGTTTCATTTTCACAAATATGATATCTCTCCTTAGTATCTTTAGAATGGTGGGCGCAAAAAGGCTAGTATGAGTAAATTATCATTGTCTGCAACCAAGACAGTCAGGTACCTCTTTGTTTTTGTCTGAAATTGACGTGGAACACTGTGATTTCTGTGGACTGTGAAAGCTAAGTGACATCACAAGCGACAATCATAGGGGTCCAAGCACCTCACACCTTTTTCACGTTTTTGGAATGGCCTCTATTTATGCTAACTGTTGAAGAGGGATCTTAAAAGGGGATTACAAAATTTTGTATACACTGACATTGGTATGGTAAGCAGTAGGTTATTTTAAACAAATATTTCAAAATATCTAGAAACCAGTACAGTTTTTGACATGACTTGAATTGCCATAGTTGGTTGAACTCAAAATAACTGAATCTTTCTAGTCTTCATCTTTCAAGGATACCAAATCCTGGTCCTGGAGATATACCAGCCTGCAGAACTTAGCTGTAATCCCATTATCAGATGACTTCAGAGGCATCTGAAAATTAAACACGGTGGTGTTGGATCTGAACTCTTCAGGGTGGTGGATAGCCAGGACCAGGTTTATTTATTTACATTATCTATGCTAAACCTCTATATATTTTATTATCGATGTCTTTGCAGGGAGCAAGAAGCAACAGAACAGAAAAAGTCTTGTTTTTAGTATTAATATTTGGCAATGACAGACATGACGGTAATGATGCTGCTAAGAAATGCTGGGTAGTTTTATCTGATCATCTGACTGTATATAACTCACAGCATGGTAATGGAACCTTGATGACTTTACAGTTATCAGAGATAAAATTTCAATCATTCAGAGACCACAGGTGCCACTCTGGAAAGAGCCAGTCACACAGGCATACTGAAGATTTGTATCTTCAAAAGATTTCATTCATAAACAGGAACAGTGGGGTCAGAATCATGGGGGGAGCGGACGCACGCTCAAACTCACACGCACACAAATGGAGAAGTGTCACACTCACTCTGCGGCAGACACAAATTTGTCCAGGTGGCCGTCGTTCTCGTCAAGAACCTCGCGAGTTCGAGCTTCGCCTGTAGACTGCAGTCCGATGACAACACACTGCAGGAAAATAAAGCAGAAAAAACATAAATCAACTTACAATGTTATGCTGTGACCCCTCCTCTCTGCTATGCTACAGTAAGACTGATAAACTCATTGAATGACTCCCTCAGTGGTGTCTGATGTTGCCCACCTTGCCAGCCTCCAGCTCCTTTTTGGCCAGCTCCACTAAACGGCGCACCTTGGCAGCGATGCAGAGGTATTTGAAAAAGCGCTGGTGGGATGACCAGAATTGACCCCACAGAGACTTCCTGGACATCATACCCAGCAAATCGGCAGCCTGAGTGAATACTGCCAAGGCCTCGGCCCACTGAGGGACCACAGAAAGAGAGTCAGTTCCACTTTAAAGGGGAATTCCACCAATTTAAAAAAATCTGCATAATCAAATCATTAAGACACAAAGTCATTCAGAGTGGTTTGTTATGAAATACGCCGTTCTAGAGGAACTTGCTGAATCACAACTGCTCACAGTAGCGATGATAGAAACCAGATGTCTGAAGAGTTTAATGCTTTAAAAAGCTACCTCACTACATTATTACTATTAAATGGTCACAAATTCATTGCTTAGTGCCTGATACATTGTTTTATGATTTGAGATTAGATTTTGGCCCAAAACATATCTTTGTAAACCCAGTTATGGCAGAGGAATACATGCAGGATGTTGGCAAAACAGTCCCCAAAGGAAACATATTTTATCCAGATTTACCACAATTTTACCAACATCAACAATACATATAAAAAGACGTGTATGTTTACTGGCCATTTTGGATAGTAAATAAAGTGAGTATTTTACACCATTTCACATTAAATCACTTTGAATGAGCCAAAGTATATTATATAGAGATTCAATTAATTAATTCCTAAAATACTAAATTACTATTTTTAAATTGTTAAACTCTTTAACCATTCAAACTGCAGATTAATAATTCAGGTATTAATCTTAAAACTTAACTTCTAGGAAACTAATACAGGTAATGTTATGAGAGTGAGGAACTGCAGTGTGGGCTGACATATGTACCCTTAGGGTTTAAGGCATTACAACATACCATGTGGTATCGGTTTTATGCATTAGAATGTACGACGTTTTTGGGATAGATGATATGTTACTCTGTGTCAACAACCTAACTTGTGCGGGATTAAATTTACATGGAGTTATGGGGTAATTTCCTTTTTTACAAGTGGTACTCAGTGATTTTATTTCCGTCCGGACTGTCCATGTCTGTACTTTTCTCCTCCTCTCCTGAGAAAATTACAGGGCGAATTACCTACTGTTTTTCACTAAGTTCAGCGGTGGCCTGATAATTTTAGTCCTGTCCGGATACACAGTTCTGAGATTTTCCTGGCAGATGTCACCTCGTGTTGGGAAAAAAGGATTCTGATCGCGCTGCTACTTGCCATACTAGCCTCCTAGAGCATGGATCCATTACCTAGGATATGATCTTTTATCCATTCTAAATGCTTTGCAAATCGCAAAACGATGAACGTTTTGGAAGATCATATGGCCACGCTTGATGCAAACATCCGGGTTCATAGAAAATACAACCCATTAGAAACTCCCTTGTTCTGCAATCTAGATGCAAGAGTTTTATCATGAAAGGGACGTGCAAAAATTTTAGTTACACACTAGAAAGTCAGATTGTTTGGTGGACCAAAAGTTATCAATATAAAAAGAGAAAAAATATCCTATTGGGTTGTCATGCGATGCTCACCAGTTTGGCAGCTTTGTTGTAGACGAGTTTAAAGTCATCATCCAAGCCGATCTCTTCGATGCGGAAGGAGACCCCTGAGAAGCTCAGCTGGCGTGCAATGTACATCCCACTGACTTTCATATCCATGGCAACAATTTCCATGGCGCCCACACCTCTATTAAAACAGCATATACAGCCAATCAGATTAAGACTCGATATAGAAGGAAACTGAACTAAAATACAGTCATCCACAAACGTTTTAACACCCCTGGTCTAATGTCATGTTTTGTTATTTTGAAAATAAGTGAACATAAGTTAACACGTCCTCTACAGAGAATATTTAAATATGGCAATTTTATGCAAACTTTAGTGCTCAACTTCTTTTTATTTGCTTAGTTTGACATATTGGAAAAAATACAATGTAAAATATAAAAAAAATGCCATCTTGCAGAGGCCGTATTTTCTGTTTTATTTTTTTCCAAAATGTTAAATTCAGCAAATAAAAAGTAACTATGCATTAAAATGTGCAAATGTGGTTCCTCTGTCAAGGGTGTGTTAACTTATTTTTACTTAGAAAATCAACAACACATGGAATTTAACCAGGAACATACAACTGTAACTGTGTGCAAACATGTTTACAAACCTCTTTTCGATAGCATGGAGGAAGTCTTCGAATGCCCTAAAGGGTGTTCCTTCTCCCCAGATGCCCAGGCGGCTCATGTAGATCATGTTCTTTGGCTCAGAGGCGCCTGAGGGACAAGAGAAACTTCACCCTTCTGGATCAACAGTGGAATAATACAAGCTAGATCTCTGCGTGGTCATAAAACTCACCTGTGGCACTGGCATACACCACCCTGGCCAGAGGCAGCTTGTTCTGCAGGTCCAACACGGCCTTACCCATCTTGGTGGACGTGGCATTCTTGGCTTTGTGACATTCATCAAATATGATCTGCAGGCACAGTGCTGTTAAGGGTTATAATTAAATAATCAGCAGAGGCTTTAATTACACATAGTGGCTGAGTTATTAGAACCCAAATGTTAAAGGATACGACTCCATCAAAGTCAGACCCGCACCAATCCAAGATCTGCTTGAGTCGGGTGCGGAGCTGGCCCCCAGCTTGGCTTTCTCCAATAAGGGCGGAGTAGGTTGCAAATAGGACCCCTTCTGAGGTAGCTGTATCTCCATACTTTATCTGGCAGTAAAAAAAAAAACATTTATTATCATTAAGAACTTAAAGGTATTGCCATTGTCACCTCATGTGAAACGCCTTAAAGGGCTCATATCATGAAAAAACTTTTTTTCTTTTGAAATAAAAGTGTTTGGTGAAGCATGTAAACACTGTTAGCATTTCAAAATGTACCATTCACTCCCCAGTCCATATCTGGAAACTAAACTGCAAAGTTTGGAATTAACCGTTTTTGTGATGTCACAAAATCTGTCCCATTTACATATAGCATATAACATGCTAGCCCAGGCCATTCATGTTGAAGTCATAAGGGATGTTTCAGCCTGGACTGCTTTTTCGAATGAGGTATAAAACAAGGAAGCCAATCAGAACCGAGAGCATTTACATATATTAGTCTTAAACGCACAGTGGCAAAACAGGTCTGTTTGATCTAGGCGACAGAGGGGTTATATAAAAACAGTTATATAAAAATAAATTACTACTGTTTTGGTGCAGAAAACCAAACAAACATCATACATAAAAAACACCAAAAAACATAAGATATAGACCTTTTAAAATGAACAAACATGAGTTCTGCAATATTGTGATGGAATTTAATAGTAGCCAACAGCAGTTATATCTGAAATGACAGCACACTCACTTTATTCAAGGCATGCACTAGAATATTGGGAGCACCGATGTCCAGAAGATCTCTTTCCGCATCATATTTGAGGTCATTGGAGACACTGAACCTGGAAGAGGCAAAGGTTCAGTGAAGAGAGGGATCCAGAGACACTGCTTAATTTGAGGAAATGCAACAGTGATCTTCACCAGGGCAGTGCTTCCTACTCCCTAGATAATTCCTTATCCCTGCGCTAACACAGAGTAGGAAAACATCAAACTACCCAGAGTAGGCTTTCTCCAGCACTGCGTTAATTATGAGAGCTTCTTTGTGAACTTGATGACTGATCACTTACCACAGTGCTTTCTTCCGTCCCTTTAGGTAGTTCTCCAGGATGATGCCGGCCACTGTGCGGCCTTTGCCCACTCCTGCTCCGTCTCCTATAAGGAAACCTGCTCTCTGGTTGTTCTGCAGGATCACCTCGTGTTGCTGCAGTGCAAAAATACAGAGAGGAAAGTAATAAGTTATTACCCAAATTTTCATTCCTGCAATGTGTCCACATTGTGTGCTGCTATTTATCTTTTTTTTTTTTGCTTTTTTTAATTAGAACAAAAGAATTTGTATTACTTGTAGTAAATCTATTAAATCTATTGTAATGTTTTCTTCGTAAACTGTAAGGAACTGAACCAAAACAACCAGATGTTATGTAGCACAAGGATTAATTAAGTGTTAATGTGTTGCAGTAATGAGATAAAATTGAAAAATACTATATTCTGCAATATTAATGAATAACTTTTAATAAATAGCTTTAAAATATGTAAGTAATTGTATGTAAGCAAGGGAGTGAGACAAAGACTAAGGAAGTGTCCGTTCCAGGCATCCTTGACACTCATTGGTCAGCTGTGATGACGTATGGTGCTTTATCAGGAAGCTTATTGGAAAAGTTGGTGGTTTTTCATCATAAACACATGGTTTAAACCTGTGAAGTGCAGGCTAGAGAAGTGCTTTCAGTTGAGAGGTGCTTTGCTCCATATACAACAAAGAAAAGAAGCGAGCTGGAGAAAGTTTGAAAAGGCATCGTCTGAACGTCCGCTAACAAGGTCCTGAAGTTTTTCATTTTAATATTTCAATTTAATATTGAAAATCTGCCAGTACCGAGGCTCAGACTGACAAACGTGTTTTGGTACATATTACAGCTGCGAAGTCCGCACTTCAATTCTTCAATTATACCTTAAAGTACAATGAAAAGCCAATACTTGGTTGCCTCTGATACAGTTTCTGTAATATTGCTACAGATTGTATCAGATCAAGTCATATCAGGAAGTCCCTGAAGAAGACACTGTACGTACTTGACATGCGTAGATGATGGCCTCCAGCTGCAGAGCAGAGAGCCTGCCAATGTTGATGATTTGCTCAGGGATGGAGAGAGTGTAGGTGATGTCAGGAGGAGGGACACTGGACAGAGTGTTGGTCTCCACCACCAGGTCAGGGTGTGAATGTCCTATAGTGGCTGGAGAAAGGACAGACAGGGAGAGAAAGAGAAAGAGAAAGAAAGAGAATGTATTGCCTTTCCACATATAGAGATAATATGTGGGAAATCAGCAGGCGGAGCCTACATTTAGAGGGTTTGTATTCAGCGTAGGTGTCTGCGTGGCCCAGCTCCTCTGTCTCCTCTTCCTCCACCTCTTCCTCCTCCTCCGGCTGTGCATGGAGTCTCTGCATTACAGACAGAAAAACAAAAGCTTCAATTTGAGCGGCTTGCGCAGAGCTGGAACACAGATCACCCACATATCCCATAACTAAAGTAAAAAAGAAAATGAAAGCAAAGTGGATCAAAGAAACACTCAAATGGCACCAGTCATATGAATAGCTTGGGTCACTAATTTAAAGAATCCAAATCCAAATCAGTGTCTAAATTCAACTAACTATAATATAAATGTGACTCACTGTATTTCATGTATTTTAAATGTAATTCATTTGTGCTCTACACACAACGCAACATTAATTTCCCTGTGTTAGGCTAAGTGGATAGGGCAAATCAAACAAAACCAACGATAAAAATGTTCAGTCAAAGGAAGCAGACGTGATGTAATTTCATTGTTAATTTAATTATTACACTGTCTGTTACAGCAACAACCACAAACTACCTGAATGCCTCCCAGAGGTGGCGTGCTGATTATAGCATTGATGTCCTCTAAACTCCTCAAACCCTGAAAGCGGTTGCAATTCAGCTGAAACAAAAAAAGAGCAAGAACAGCATTTAAAGCAAATCATCCGGAAAAGGAAATGCAATTTTATGGGAGGTGTGAACGGAGCTCCTGGCTCATGTGCCATCTTCTAAACAGCAGCACAGAGTGAGCGTTAAAGCGTAGGAGTGCAACAAACAATATCAAATTCTTAGGAAACTCTTGGTGCTTTGTTCAGTGTCTGTGTGTGGGCTGGGGAATGGGTGCACAAGATGAGCCTCACCTCCTGGTTCTGTGTTGGTGTGTTGATGTCCCATATGGTTGGAACAGGTGCCATGCCGTCTGGATATTCAGATAGGGAATCGGCAGGAGAGGAGAAGAGTGAGGGGTTGGACGGATCATCTATACAGGAGAGGTCCTGCACAAAAGAGAGGGAGAGAGATAAAGAAAGAAGGGAGAGAAAATGTTAAACATGTACTACCAATCAAGGTTAGAGAATATACCAGTTTACTATAAGCCAGAACTTCAGTTCTATATTGGGACCATTGTCTGCATAATGACAAAACTGGCCCAGATACGACCCGTATGCACAGTCAGAAATAGACAAAGGGACATTCAAATATGGTCACAAGACAATCATTCAACCTTTCTCCTATTATTCATTCTGTGCGGTGAAGAAGCTTCTCATAACTCAAACAGGAATCTGTTACTTTAGGGAAAGAGACATGGCTGTGGACAGCTACAGATTAAAAGCTGCATTTTTGCTGGATATCCACAGAAATATGGATACTTTCTCTTAAATACAGATTAGTGATGCCTTCTTTTAAATGGCCTAAACCAGAAATTAATATGAGGTATTTAAGCACAAAGATATCAGAAACATCCCATTACTGGTAGAAAAGTTCTTATGATGTTCACAAAAGACCAATATTTCAAACCAATACCTAATGACAAATGTATTACACTTAATAGAGCAGAATGTTCAGGCGACACTGGGCTTCTGCGTTAAAATATCTCTCTATATATTTTTTATTGAATTTGTAACCTATTTGTACAAATAAATGTTATATTTCTCTGTAAAGTTAATCTGGGTAGATTTAGCTTCAATTTCTACATTTAATAAATGTTTATGTATTAGCTTTGGCTTAGAGAGATATGCACATTAAAAATATCAGGTATTGGCATCAGCCCATAATTCCCATAACAATGCATCCCTAGGCTGGTACTGGACGTGTATATATTTACTGACTACAACAGACTCAGACTAATCAAGAAGCAATGGCGTTAATATCATGCTGTGCTTATTAGAGTCAGATGTTTAAGGAACTGGAGTATGAAAATGTGGACTGCCTGGGGTCCCTGAAGACTGACTAGAGAAGCTCTAGCTTAGCAGAAAGAATTACACTCAAAAATCTCACTAGCTTTCTACTGCAGCTGCCACGTTAACTTGAATTCATTAAAATGACACAGGAATGTGTATATATATATATATATATATATATATATATATATATGTATTACAAACAGGACTTTTGCACTGGACAGATTTTATGCTTTATTCTTTCCAACTATATTAAATTCAGCAAATAAACAGTTAATTGTGCATTGAAATGGTCAGAAGTGTGTTCTTTGCAGAGGATGTGTTCACTAATCTTCACTTAGAAAATCAACGAATCAACAGTTTACCAGGGGCACTCAAACAATTGCGTACAATGTTAAAAAAACAAACTATGTTGCGAGGTACACTGAAACAGTCAGAAATTTTAATCATCCTGTTATATACATTTTTTGGCCGTACCTCCCACAACTACTGGAATAATACAAAGACAATAAAAACAGTACAATTAACTAATAATTGTACGAATTAAATCACCACCTTCCGGGTGACGCGTCATGGTGTCTTGAAGCACTTTTACACCCCCGCAGTTCATAGAAAGCAAATTCCACGAAAGCCTTCCCTGCTTTTCCAGGGAAAAACGAAGAGGAACCCTGGAGGCATGGAGGCAGAACCCAGCCAGTGGTGAAGGTGTGCAGCTGAGTGACTGAACATTTCCAGGGTGAGGCTGAGGGGGCCTGGCAGCTCTGTTCTTCTGAACCGAGTGAGAAACTAATGCCACCCATAATATCCTGCCAACTTTATTCAAGCCAGTTCTGAGTCAAACTAAAGCAACTTGTTTGTTCCTGTTGCAAAGGAGAACAGGGTGCACATTCTTCTTTTCCAGGGGAGAGGAATATTGGCTAAGACGGGGTAATAAATTGCAAATATACTACTGACGCACATCTTGTATTCAAACTACTGCTGTAATCACCCTTAAGGGAATGATTCTGAAGAAAACAGCGTGCATGTTCGCGTGTAAAAGAGAGAGAAAGCTCACGTGTTCTGTTTAAATGACTGCAAACAAAAAAATCAAGGCCGAATGAATGTCACAGTAGTTGACAAGTCTTTGCTTCATTAAACAACTACCACTACCAATTTAGACCTAATAAAATACGCAAATAGACTCATTTTGTGGTGTGATCAACCCAACTGAGGAACTCTGGGTCTATGCTGATTTTGCTTATGAGAAAAATGATATTGGCATGTTCTGCCTTATGTACATATGATCTTAATTAAAGGAAATGCTCACATTTTCACAATTTGTCCCTGACATTAAAGCACTGGAACTCTGAGGCTATTATAGAAAAAGTGTCTCACTCAAAAAGACACTGGTTGACATAGACTTCTAGTACAGGCTAGCTACGTTAGCCTACATTAGCCTGATCGACTATGTTCGGTTTATAGGGAAAAGTGTATTTTTTTTCTTTCCAGTTTAGCACCTAGCTAGATCTCCCCCTTTCACACAATACTACCAGGCTAAGAGGGTCAAAACTAGCATGAGGTTTCTCCAAGTCAAGTGAAGGCAGCCAACGCTAACGCAATGACATTAGACAGCCCATCACGCTTGGAGGAGAACACTATATGCAAATTCTACATCAGCTAACAGATGACCACATTGGCTAGAATCATGCTGACTGATAGAGGAAGAGGGAAGGCCACTGGGCCACCGCTTAGACCAGTGGTCACGAAACCTGGTCCTGGAGCTATTCACCGTAGTTCAAACCACAGTCTGACACTCCTTCTCCAGCTAATTAACTTCTTCAGAAGTCACTGAGTGGCTGAATCAGAGGAATTAGTGTAAGTGTGGAGAGGAGGCAGCATGCTAGATGCACGTTGGAACAAACACTACAGGAAAGCAGATCTCCAGGAGGAGGGTTTATGACCTCTGACTTAGACTGTTGTGCCACTCAGGTGCCCATAATGTTTGATTTTTCTGTGAATTATTGCTGTAAATTCTCTGAACTATAGAATGTATGTGAGAATATTCCTGTTTATACAATTTAATGGCTTTGTGATTCAAATCACAGTGATATTCAGGGGTAGAAGTTTGTAGGACAAAACATTAGCTTTGAAAAGTATCAGTTAACCACACAAAGCAACACAGGAGACTTTCAAAAACTTTAGACCAAACGATAGACAAAACGACAATCATCTGGACTACAAAGTGACAACAGAGGTCTTACATGCTAAATTATGGCCTTCACCTAAGTACTGTAAGGCATAAGGAGCATGCTGTAAACTTGTTATAGCAAAAGTTTCAAGCATCTATAGTACTTGAGTAGTCTCAGAAAAACTCAGAAGCAGCTAGGTTCACCATATTGGACGTCTTTGGTATACGTAACTGCCAACATAATGTTACATCTAATTCTTATGAAATGATTAGCCTGCTTATTTGGCATGTGCTCCGATACGTCCCCCCATGTCCTCGCTGTATGTTCCTCTTCCACTTCATGCTCTCCAGTCAGTCACTGCTTAAACAAGCACTTTGTGTTTCCCAGCAGTGAGCTGAAAAACCACATTTGCCCATATATAGAACTCCTTTTCACAATCCTTTGGGGACATGATACAATCAACAACAGTGTTTTCCGCGCTGACCGGCACTGAGAACACGTCCACAACACTGACACCACATTTTTACGATACAACACAGATGTTGTGGATTAATTACTTCCTCTGCGCAACGGTTAAAGTTAAGGCGATCACAAATTCTCTATGGTAGGTTGTAAAATACTGAAAAATGCCAAAAAGACATGATAGAAAACATTGAAGGAGACACTCTTATGTAAAAACGTTTCCGTTCCACAGTTATGCATAGCATTTAACATCACCAACGCGCTTAAACAAAGTCCCCAGGGTGAAGAGAAGTGGCTCGTCCAGACAGACTAAACGCAGTTATGATAACAACAACCGCGCTAGGCCTCGTGATAAGGAAATGAGGGCCAGTATAATACACCAGCTCAAAGACAGCTCTTTAACTCTTTAGTTCCAAATCTGGCTTTGCTTCCTCTTGTTCCCAACCACAGGGATAGAATTCAAGCTTCCTGGAAGAAGCAGCCATTCCTGCTCTGCTCCGCTGCTGAGCCAGCACACAGGGAATCCCCCAGTATTCCAGAGTCAGGAAATGAGCTGAAGAAATACTTCATTTTGGCTACCGAGAACAATCAAAATTACCCGTAAGAACACAGTAAAAATACTACCATTATTGCTCAGCTTCGTCAAATACGTGATCAAGCTCTAGCATTTTCCATGTGTGGAGAAGAAGCCACACCAGTGCAATTCAAATGCTAAAACAAAAAAAGCTAAAACAGTATTCAAAAATTTAAAAAAGAAGCAAACATGCTGATCAACCAGCGAGACTAGTTATGCACTTACTGCACAACGTCTATATGTAGACTACAGACTTATATTTTGAAGAAATGAAAACATCGCTGACATTTGTATAGTTTATATGCATGTGTGGTCATTTGACTTGAATGATTAAAGGTTATTCATGTATATTAAGGGAAATCCTGGCAAGATTCAGTTCAGAGTTTTACTTCAGCTGAGTTCAACAGTGAAGCTTTTCCAGGGAACTGATGCAGCCCTTTAATTCCTGCACAGGGCATGATCCATTCCACAGAAACAAAGGCTTGTGATTCACATGTCATTTCTTATCAACACAGTGGCAGTGAACTTTGCAAGGTTGTTGTTATTAATACTAACGTTAACACTACAGAGGTTGTTTTAATCACTTAGTATTAAGCATTTATATAGTATTGAATCAGCTCCAAGGGGGGTCTGATCTATAGGAGAGCTGAAGTGAATATTTGTCTGTAATCATGAAATGCTCAGACAAGCATGTGACATATCTTATCACAATAATGGTAAAATATTGTCATATTGCACACCTCTAAATTCAAATCATAATAAAATATATCCTATTTACACACATAGGTTGAAACAGTATAGGTTGAAAATGTAGAATTTGCACATTAGACAAAATTTCTCTGCTTGATTCGATGAAATGATTCATGAGATTCATTTAAAGGCAGTATTATCCA